CGGGGGGGAGAGGAGGGGAAGTCCGGACATTGACAAATTCCCCCCGGATGCTATTTTTAACCCGAAAAAGCTGGACATGTCCGGGGGAATCCGGACGAATGGTAACCCTATTTGAGTTTATACTTGTAAACTTCACTACAAAAAAAATTATTCATCTTTAACACTGCCCAGATACATTTGAAACCTCAGATAGCTTTCTGTGTAATAGAATAAGCAAATATATGGTAAATCATGTATATTTAACGTAGGTAACCTCGCATTTTTCTTGATTTACTACTGATATGCAGCAAGTGAGTACACACGTAATGAAAGAGTAAAGCATGTGTATTAATTGTGCAAGTGAATTTGTAATATAGATGCAGTGTGTGAATGAACTTGCTAACTTAGATCATCACATCTGTAGCATTCAAACAGGAAGCACAGTTATTTTATGTTAGCATAAAGAAAAAAGAACTCAGTGAAACTTATATTTGTGAAAGGGTTGGAAAAGGATATTAAGTTTTTTAATTTCTCATCAGCGTGATCATTTCTAAATAATAGGTTAGTAGGTGCCTGTAATTAGAAACACCGTCTTTGTAAATTAAATCAACATTCCATGTAAATATTTTAGTTTATATGCTGATAAAGCCATCAGCTCTGGGCAGTTGTATCCTAAATGCATATTTGGCCTTGGGGTCATTGAATTTGGTTTAAAATTAGGTGAAACAATTGAAATAGAGCAACAACAAAAAATTAGGAGTTTTTGAATGTTTGTACTGGAATTATTGACATATATTATATCTCACTATTGACACGTATACTGTAGTTGAACAGCCTAATGTAACTTCAAACATATCTGTCAGATTTCACTATTTTTTCTGGTGGACTTAAGGTTGTTTGTAACATAAATAACATCTCAGTGATTTATATTAATTGCATGAAAATCACAGTCATAGTGTGGGCTGGAGAAATGTTCTCTATTTTTTAATTATTCAAAATGTAATTATTTTTACAGGGAATGTTCTTCAGCAAATCATAGAATCCTACACCTGCAAGATGCTGAGTGCCCTCACTTTCTTTTGCAGACAGCAATATTTGAGGGTGCTCTGCACCTCTCAGGATCTGGTCCTTTTATATCAGGGGAGGGTCAGTCTTATTATGCTAATACTGCTAGTAAACTGTAGCGCATCAGACCACTATTGTACTATATCTTTTAAATAAGGGAACTGTTTTTGCCCTCTGGGAAACAGACCCTGTAATGGTCTGAAAACCCTGTTAGAAACAGAGGGGTTCTGGCTGCCCTGCAGCCTTGTTACCGGCGCTGTAGTGTCCTTTTGAAACAATTTTAAGACTTATTCCCATGTTGGTAGGGTCTAGGAGGGCCTCATACAATATGCGTACTTTGTGGGGTGATAGACTGAAAGCTCCACACACTTTGTCCCTTTTACAGAGAGACTTGCTTTCTGATCCTCTGTGTGGCAATGTTAATATTTAACACAGGGTTAATATTTAACATAGGTCACATACCTATTTCCTAGCAAGAAGATAATTTAATTGTTCTGGTGGTGAGAGAACAAGGACAAATGAAACCAGGTATACACACAGCAAACAAAAGGAATAAAGTGTGGGGGAATCTTTAAGGTCCTAGAAATAAGTTTGTAATGAGTTATTAGAAAGGAGAATGGGACAGCCCATTCCAGTAAATCTCTCTTTAAAAACTAGCATTATTGCAGTGTGTTCTCACCAAGAAAAGTAGAGGCTTCCATATATGGTACTAGGTCAAGACAAAAAATGTTTTAGCTTGACAGTTTTATTAATTGGACAACAGCATGCCCATTTTACTGAATTACAAACCCACTTCTTGATAAACTTCCTCAATTACAATAAAAATAATGTATTGTATGTTTCTGACTTGTAAGGTTTTATGGATAAAGGTGACAAAACATGTTTTAAATATTATGCATATTCAGTTTGTGCTGTTTGGTTTTTAGATAATTGAATGTTTTTACATCCAAGTACAGATATTTTTATTGTATTTTTGCTGTTTTCCATAGTAAAACAAATGTTAACATTTTATACTATTGTATCCAGCTCTATACTTGAAGTTGCCATCAATTCAGACATTGATGTCATGCCTGAAATCTCATTTTACCTTCTTATGCAGAACAATAAATTATTGATATAATCGATCATTGACTATGGGTGGTTTTTTTTTTAAACCTGAACAGGATAGTTTACTGTGTAACTCATAAGAATGACTTAAACGATAAAACGTTTATCTAATAATCTGTCTTTTATAGCTCTTCATCCTAAATGCAACCATTAAAACAATAACTTTTAATTGAATACCATGGAAAAAGGATTAAAACCCTTCATTTATCAATGCTGTTGTTGACATTTTCTCTCAACAGACTTTTTCCTCTCCTTGCCCCTTTCCAAAAATTAACTCTCCTCTTTCGGACAGTAAAAGTAGGAAGGAAGTACAGCATAAGGACAATGGGCCAAATGCAGAGGTGGTATGCAAGGTGTGATGCAGGTAAGGTACACACCTGTACTAGATGTAATAGAGTCTAAGGCTAGGTCTACACTACCCGCCTGAATCGGCGGGTAGAAATCGACCTCTCGGGGATCGATTTATTGCGTCCCATCGGGACGCGACAATCGATCCCCGAATCGACGCTCTTACTCCACCAGCGGAGGTGGGAGTAAGCGCCATCGACAGGAAGCCGCAGAGGTCGATTTTGCCGCCATCCTCACAGCGGGGTAAGTCGGCTGCGATACGTCGAATTCAGCTACGCTATTCCCGTAGCTGTATTTGCGTATCTTAAATTGACTCCCCCCTGTAGTGTAGATGTAGCCTCAGTGAGTGTCAAAGCTGGTGTACTTTTCATGCTGTAATATGGGGATGTATAAAGAGAAGAGTGTAGAAGGAAAAGCAACTAACAGGAAGGTATAAGTTTAATTAAGCCATACCATTGCTAAGTTTAGACTGAGTTACAGTGGCAGGTAATTTATATCACCTTACATGTAACTCAGATTCATAGTTTAAATAAAATCTAAAATATAGCTTTGAAATCCCAACTACTATAGTGATTTCTCAGGAGCAATAAGATATTTTTGCCTATTTCAATGTTGAAAGTCTTTTGTACTTGCTAGTTGACTGGTTTACTTTCTAGCAAACGAGATCGATAGTAATATTATCACAACAGGAGCTCTGATTGAAAAACAACTGAAAATAGATTGAAGAAATAAATTCTTTTCTTTAAGAGGATACCTTATAAATTTCCAGATTATATAATTTAAATGTTTTTTTGGAAATTAGATTTTTATGTCTTGTTACATTAAATAGCACAGTACAAGTGAGACAGAATGGAGTTGTGGAAAGGTGAATACTTTTTTTTAACAAGTATCTGCATCTGAAAAAAACAGCCATACTGATTACTTTTTATAACCAAATTACAAACCAGATTGGTTTCTCGGAAAATTGCATGGAATGATTTAGGTTTCTATAACATTTTGAGTTGTTGATTATTTAGCATTTTTTTAAAAGTGGGTAAATGCTGACTTAATACACCTCTTCCTCGATATAACGCTGTCCTCGGGAGCCAAAAAATCTTACTGCGTTATAGGTGAAACCGCATTATATTGAACTTGCTTTGATCCGCCGGAGTGCGCAGCCCCGCCCATCCCGGAGCACTGCTTTACCACGTTATATAAGAATTCGTGTTATATCGGGTCACGTTATATTGGGGTAGAGGTGTATTGATGTTTGCTGTTACCCTTCTTACAGAGATATACCTAAATCTGTTAAAACTTAATAGTTTTCAGAAATTAAGTTAGAATGACTCAGAAGTTGCAAAATGTACAATTTCAGTACCATGAATATTCAAAAACAAAAGCAATAGCTTCAGGACTTTCAAGAATCCCCAGCTAACATATCTAGGTTTTGAAAACTTCTTGATAAGATTCCAAAATCAGTTCAAAGAGAAATAGATCATATTACCTTTCTTCTTTTCAGTGTCCACGTTGATCATCAAGAACTGAATATTATAATACAAAGAAAAACAAAGTGGGTTATGATTGACTTTAAGCAATTAATTTTAGATTCACACTTCAACAAAGGCATTCCAGAACTTTCTACAATATCATACAGACAAAGGATTATGGAAGTGTGGAATTTTAATGGATTATGTATTTGCTTTAAAGAATCCAGGATGTAGGGGGCAGAGTAAATCAGAGGGAAAGTTAAGGATCAAAATATTTTGGATTACTCATGAAACCTTGCAGATTCTATTCCACCTTCTGATTTGAGTGTATGTCTTTGTTATTTGTATTACCTTAGCACCTGAGAACTCTAATCATGGACCAGGACCTCATTGTGTTAGGTGCTGTAGAAACATAACAAAAAGGCATTCCCTGCCCCCAAAGAGCTTACAGTCTACGTATAGAACACGAGAAAGTTGCTGATCAATTAGGGAACATGCTCGTTTAAAGTTGTGAAATGCTCCCTTCTAACGTTGTTTGGCAGCCTCCTGTTTTGTCCACTGCTTGCAGGAAGAGCAGCCCCTTGCAGCTAGCTGGTGAGTGGTTGGAACCAGGGTGGACCAGCAGCCCCCCTATCAGCTTCCCTAAGTTCCCTGTGCAGCAGCTGTCCCTCCCCCCACTGCCATGTGCTGCTCCTGCCCTCTGCCTTGGAGCTGCTCCCAGAGACTCCTGCTTGCTGTAGGGGGAGAGGGGAGGAAAGGGGGGCTAATGTTAGGGAGTCTCCTCCCCCTCCCCACTGCTCCTGCACTCCACTTACCCCATCTTCCATAGAGCAGGGGGGGACACATGACGGAGGGAGGGAGCTTCTAGGCAGTAGCTGCTGTCTCAGGTCTCAGCAAGCTGATTTAATTAACAAGGCAGTGTACTTAAGCCTGGGGTCAGCTACTTAAAGGGGAAATGCACATTTTTTTTCCTCTCACAGATAGGGTGTGTGTCTCTGTCTGCCCTCCCTCCTTTCCTGCTGCCTTGTAGAATGTTGAGAGTTAACCCTCCAGGGCTCAGTCAATTGCTAGTTCATTTAGCAGTAAGGCATTCCCTGGAAAATATCCCACCCTCTGACTCCTCCACCTCAACCAAGCTTCACAATCATCATCACGTGTACCAGTATTAAATTGTTTGTTTAAAACTTATACTGCACGCGCGTGTGCATGTGTGTGTGTGTGTGTGTGTGTGTGTGTGTATGTATGTATGTCTGTATATATATAGTCTTTTGTCAGGTGAAAAAAATTTCCCTGGAACCTAACCCCCTCATTTACATTAATTCTTATGGGGAAATTGGATTCGCTTAACATCGTTTCACTTAAAGTCGCATTTTTCAGGAACATAACTACAACGTTAAATGAGGAGTTACTGTACACTGTATTGATCAACACACTAGAAGTGATAACACAGTCACAGTCAAATCATCGTCAAGGGTTTTGTAGGCATTTGTAGACAAAGGAGAGTTTTAAGGAGAGATTTGAAGGCAGAAAATGAGGTAATTTTGCCAGTGTTTACAAGGAGCTTCCTCCTAATCGTGAGGCGCAGCATAAAAGAAAGTATGAAGGTGCTTGTTTGAAAACTTCAACAGTTGGCAATGGAGGCTGGCATCACGGGTCAATTGGAGGCAAGAGTCAACATCTTGAAAGCAAGTGAGAGATGATAGGTTGGGTGGGGATAGTTCATAAAGGATCTTGAAAGTGAAGACAAGTAGCTTTATGTTTGATAAGATAGAGAAGGGAGAGCCAGTGGAGGGATTCAAAGAGAGGGGGTCGTATGATCAAAGCAACAAGCTAGGAAAATGATCTTTGCAGCAGCATTCTGAATGGATATGAGTAGGGCTCCATGTTTGTCACTGAGGTCGTGGAAGTCATGGATTCCATGACTTCTGCAGCGGCCAGTGTGACTGAGCCCAGGGCCGCCCGAGCAGCTAGCTCCAGGACCAGCTGCTCAGGCAGCCCTCCGGACAGCCACACCAGGGCCGTGATTTATTGTTTCTTGCCCGTGA